GTATTAATAATGATGAATTGAAACCTAAATCAAAAGAAAATTCAAGTTTTTCCCACCAATCCTCCATGAAAAAAAGAAAATTTTCTAATAATGATGAATCTCACATTTAACTCTTGCAAACCAATTCTAACAAAGTCACTTACCAAGCACTTATTCAATGCATCAAGAGTATTCAGGTGAAAATCCATCTCTTTCACATGCCAGAATAATCACTTTTACCTATGTGTGCAATAAACATAATGCAAAATGAAGACTAACTACAAAACTATACCTACGAAAAGACTCCAAAAGCCAAGAATCTAACCACACAGAATCAAACCCAAGAGGCCAATTTGACTTAGCACCATCAACAAATAGACATGAACTTGAAATTGAGCAACAATAAGGGTATTGAGTCATGCAACATCAAAGTTATAGATACGTACGTAGAGGAAATAAATCTGCTTACATGAACTACTGACACAAACTACGCAACGCAGGTGAAATATATGACTCAAGTTTCTAAACAGTATCGCATAAATCAGCCTCTGCAACTAAGGCAAATAGAGAAAACAAATGCAAACCAGCTTCTGCACAAAGACATCCCCATCTAATAAGAACTAAACATTACCATCATCACGGTAATAATACACACAGAGACCAGCAACCAATCCAGTCAACCAAAAAATAGAACTCTGATCTGCCCAAAACGATGAATATACAAAAACTCTAACTAAAGATCGCAATTTAACCGCAACAAAAGCAGGACCTTTCAGATCAGCTAAATCAAATGCATCCACTAACCCAAACTTGAAATCTAACTCGAGATGTGTTTTTAAATCTTAGATGCCAGCACACATAACGTCAATTTTAAAATTTAAGTTAAATTCCTCTTTGACAGTTATCTCAAGATCTCAACTAACAAAAGACCAAAACTTTGAAAAAACATAACAGAAACAACCCAGATTATAAAAACTAAAACATAAAAACCCAAAAGATCTAAAACTAAGATCATTCCACTCAAATCGAGATCACAACCTAAATTAAAAAACCCAAATTTTGACATGCTAAAAGGACAGAGGATACCCAGATCAGAAAAAGCGAATTAGAGTGAAAAAAACAAGTAAAGGTCTAACTTTCTTGGCCAGCAGTATCCCAAATCTGAGCCTTGATGACCTTGCCATCAACATTCAAACTACGAGTAGCGAACTCAACACCTATAGTGGACTTAGATCGAGACTAAACTCGTTCCTAGTGAACCTGGAAAGCAGATTAGATTGCCAACACCAGAGTCACCAATCAACACCACCTTGAAGAGGTAATCATAGTCATCTCAGCTCTGTAGCCAGCCATAGATGAAGAAGAAGTGCTTTAGAACAACAAACAACAAACAACAAAATACAGTTGTTCAGAGTAGTTAAGTGAGATCTGTTGTGTAAAAAAAAAAAAAAACACAAAAAAGGGTAAAGTAAGATGTAGAGAAGCGTGTGTGTTTTTTTTTTTGACAGTTTACAAAGAAATGTTTTATGTTAGAGGCTGACTGGTGGTCTGGTTGGTTGCTCGGCTGGACTCCAAACCAAACAATTTAAGGAGAAGTGGAGGATGTCTTTTTTGGTTTATGGGATTGAGAATTTACTGTAATACCCACCTTTTGCTTTTCTTTTTTTTATTCCTTCTGTCTTTTTGGTTTTGGGAAGTTTTGGGAAGGCTATAAAGATATATTTGACTTTTCATGAGGGGTTTTAATCGACATTTTGAGTGGTCCTCGGGTGATTATTATGGCCAATGTGAGTGATTAAAGCCTTGAAAGGACAGGATCCTTGATAATAGAGGAAATATATACTTGTATTAGGAATTTTCTTTTTAATTAAAATTTTAAATATATTTCTTATCCAATTTTAACAGAATTTTCTGTTTTGATTTAGTATTAATTTATTGATTTTGTATTGAAAAAATGGTAATATTTGAAATAAGAATTTATTTTTTTATTTTTTATTTTTAACCATAAGTATGTTTAAAATATAATTTTTTATTAGTTTAGCGATCAATTAAGACTCTTAGATGTATTATCTAAAAGTTCTTGAATTCAATTCACTTGAGTTGTTAATAAGGGTGGTTACTGAGAAGATTTACTCGGTTGTTAACTTTAAGGTCTCGAAAAATTAGTTGAGGTATCCATAAACTGATCGAGATAGCATTGGTTAAAAAAAAAAAAAACTCCAAAATATTAAAAAAAAAATCCAAATATCACGTGAAGTATTTCATGAGTTTAAATTTTGTCTTTTGTGGAGCCAAAGATACGTGTGTTGTTTTTCTTATATTTTTGGAAATGGATTAATGGGTGTTTAAAGAGTTGTAATACTTTTCTTACAAGTTACAAATAGATAGATACCTTTTGTCTAACTTTTATGGTCATTTACTGATTTTGGGTACTAAAATCATGACCCCACTTTAGCAATAAAATGTGGCTACTACTTCTATTTATATTTGTTGATGGCCTTTACTAAAGTACGAATCCCCCATTTGTTGATTTGGATTTTTCTTTTTCTTTTTTTTCTTTTTTGGTGACTAGGGTGTTTGGACTAGCTTACAGACGTCTCGATTAATTCTTCGAAACTATGAAGTTAACAACCGGGTAAATCTTCCAATGGCCACCCTTATTAACAACCAAAGGGAATCGAACTCAAATCTCTTAAAATAATATATCTAAGAGTCTCTATCGACCCACTTGACCACCTAAAGATGGTTAACCTTGCTTTTGCATTTCTTAGAGAATTTCTTCTAAATGTTCTCAGAATGGTATGCCTGTTGAGCAATTTTGTGCATTTATAAGGTTAAGCATTTAAGTATTAATCCCTAAGTATTAGAAGATTGATTTGAATTCCTTATTAATATTGACTTCAAAAAATGTCCTACTTGTAATATATTTCCTATTGGAATGCCACTTAATTTACCACTCATTTATGCCTCTTTCTCTTTTGGACCAAACCCGGGGCATGTTCAATAATTAAAGCTGGATTGCATCAGCCCAGCTTATATTGAACCATTTAAAGGCCTAGTTATAGCCCAATATTTCTCCGATACTCTTGGGTTTTAGTCGTCGGCCTTCTAATCAGATTCAAAATGTTTTTACATTTTCTAGTCTCCATTTGACTTGCAAAACGAATATTAACTTCATAGATAAAGATCGGCTTATAACTTAATCTTATAAATTTTTTCTTATAATTTTGATATAACAGTTTGTTATTGATCAATTTACAGAATTCACAGCTAGCAGATAAGACCTAGTTACGAACTGATTAATTGTAAGTTATCACGTCGGGATTATGAGAAAAAAATTATAAAATTGGATTGTAAGTGTAATATTGCTTAATTTGACACTATTTCAAAACATTAGAATGAACTCCTATTGATTGATTGATTCAACTCATGGATAACTGAACTTGATAATAATTTTTTTTTTTTCTTTTTTCTAGTGGGCACATGTGGATGTGGTAGCTAGCTGGTGCCCACAATCTCTGTAACTATACATTTCTTCCTTTTTTATTTTATTTAATGATATTAATGATTTACCATAGTGACATGCTGATTCATCCATGAAATTCTGGTAAAGTTGTGAAAAATATGATACTTTAATTTTGCTCCAAGTATGGAAGCTCTAACATCTTCTACTTTTGTGCAGAAGAAATCATCATCCAACCCTTGAAATAAATTCAAATCATAACTCAATAAAGCAAGCATCTCCAAATTGAAATCATAACTCAATAAAGCAAGCATTCTTAGTCATCAAAACTGTAGCAAATCCTTCAAATTTTACACCCATTTAAAGAAATTACAGCCACTCAAATTATCAGAATCCAATGATATAAAAAGAACTAAAACTCAAGACTTCTTCAATAATACACTCAAAAGTCTTTATCGAGCTACTTAATCATCTAGAGATAGTTAAACTTCTCTAATGTTATGCAATCAAACTGTCCAAAGCCATTATTTTTTTTCTTCCTTTTAGGTTGGATAACAAGTCCCTACAAGAAGTTGTACTTGTGCATAGTGGAAATAAAAAAAAAAGGCTGGAATTCTGATAGATTCTGCTGTCTTAATGTACATGAAAGGTGTCTAAGATGAGGGCAAATAGAGACAGGTTATTACACCTTTGATTCTTCCATATATGTACAGAATCTGCCAACGCCGGCCAGCATTATCAAGATATGGATAAGTTTCTACACTTCCCCACCAAATGGGTCAACTCAATTATTTATATCATAGACCAATAATTTTCATGTTATCAACAAGCCAGCATAATCAAATTCATAACTTTTTCAACGGGCTCAAAACCAAATTTTATAAACTTTCTCTTATAATCTTGATGTGACAGTTTATAATTGGGTATATAAGACTCATTATTAGACAGACATAATCTATTACAAATTGATCTATTATGAGTTATCATATTAGAATCGTGAGAAAAAGTTTGTGAGAATTAATTGTAAGTATAGTATTACTCTAACATTTTTTACCATTAATTGATAATTTTGAAAAGAGATGATGATATATAGTATATAAATATTATACATATTATATACGGTGTTCGGATGAACTTATATATACTCGACGTATCATTCTTTTGACATTCGCAAAGCTTTAATGGTTGGTATAGATCAATCATTGATGTTGGGTGTATAGATTGTTACAGGGAAGATGCTGCCTAAACCAATCGATTAAACCCTTCAACTAGAATTATGGAGCCCATGAATTTGAAGGGTCCACATTAGATTTTTATGCTCTCTAACAGATAAAAGAGCATGTTAAGCAGAAAAAGGGATCTGTTCTCTGTTAACTTACATATATTTTACGACACTGTCAATATATGTGGTCTGAAAAGACTCACGATTTAAAGTAGGAGGATTGGTTAGCCAAAAACGTTGGGAGATTCAATTCCTCAGATATCTAAACTCACCTTAAATTCAATTCAAAACAGCGAGTAATAGAAACCATTAGTTATGCTACCCACGATCTCTCTCTCTCTCTCTCTCTATATGATTGCATACAGCCATACACGTCTTTATCTCAATTGATCCCACTAATCTGTCACATTTTCTCTCCGTAAATAAAAACCTTGTCTTCCCAATTTCAATATATCGTTATCTTCTTGTTCTGTCCTAATTTTCTTGTCAATGTCAAACTCTGAAATCTCTTCATCTTCTACGCCTTCACTCCTCGAGTGTTCTTCTCATCAAAACAAGATTCAACTAGTTTCGAAGTCTGTATCCGACCGACTCCTCCAGAAGTTCTTTGATGCATCTGAATTTGACTTCGATTATGAGCAAAGTGGGCTGTGGTCTCCTCCCGTTAGAAGAAGCGTATTCATGAGCTCCCCCGGTAGAATATTTACTGAACAAGAAATGCTTGCAAAACTTAGAAGTGTTATGGATAATTCTCGTAGCAGAAGAAGACATAAAGCTTGCTTCAACATGGTAAGTTAAGACTATAACTCTTAGTCTTCCTAAATTGGGATTAATTCAATCTTTTTAATTTCTGAATTACTTTCTTTCTTTGGCAGGCATTTTCTTGCTGTTAGTTATTAAACTGAGAGAGAAAGTTGAAGTACAATACAGAGATTTCCCTAACTTTTCTTTTCTTTGCGCTGCTGGATAATGTAAATATCCATCTTTTTGTACGATACATATATATTGGAAATACTTATATTAATTGTCATCTTTCATTCGCTTTCTTTTCCAGTCTCTTTCCAAATTTGTTCTTTTTCCTGATAGATGAATTATGAATATTGGTTCAGATGGGTTAGTTATAATCATTATGTCAGCTGGGAACTGTTCCATTATAATCTGTCATGCCATGAAAATACAGAGAAATAAAAATGAATCGGTTGTTTGTTGATATATAAAATTCAAGATCCGATGAGATGAGTTTTTCATTTGGTTCATCTCTGGTCCACCCATAATTTTTTAATGACATTTATTATTTAATTACTATATATTAAGTTAATTAATGTGGTTCTTCAGTCCAGATCCAAGTTAAGGTGATGCAAATAATTTGATTCAAGTTAGTACAGCACATGGTTTTACATACTAATATATAGTTTTATACTTCCTTGAAAATTGAAATCATTCTAGAAAATGTCTATCACACTAAATTAATTTAAAATAAAGTAAATCGAGATGATGAATATTCCACATTCCATGCAAAAAGCAACCCTAGATGGTTTCGAGGGATCTGTAAAGAAGGTTGGTTTTATTGGTTTTGATGCATTGCTAAATCATTATGTTTAGCAATTGATTAAATTCACTTTACAAAGTTAATTAGGTATGTGATTGATGATATATAAGTAATTATAGAGTCTATACTATAATAAACTTTTTAAGTATCAAATGGATGATAAAACCACCATTATTGGGTACTTGATAGTAAAAAAGTAAAAGAGGATTAAACTTGGTTTTTTAAGTTTAAGTTTCCTTGATGATAAAAGAGTAAAAGGAAGATCTAATATGGTCTCTCTAGTTCGAGTCTCATGACCCCTAATAGGGGTGGCCAATGAAACTCTTACTCGGTTGATAGTTTCAAAGTCCTGAAAAATTAACGAATAATTCTAGAATCTCAAGAGATTAATTGAGATGTGCACAAGTTGGTGGAGTTCTTACCTGATCAGTAGTCCTAAGGCGCTCAACCTAGCTAGCTCAGAAACTCCGAATCAGTAAAAAAAAAAAAAAAGTATCTAATAACATGATATTAATTAATCAAATATTATTGGATGATGAAATACTATGTTAAATGATAGTAACTGGAAGGGGCTGTGGTGTGCTCCATATAGCATTGATTTCATTTCGACAAGACAAATTAAAATCATCCCCTTTGGACAATGTTCTTCTTTGTTTTGTGGTGGTTGTTCAGAATTCATCATTCTATTTTATGGTCATACCAAATCATATCATATCATCTAGACCTAAAAGTTGAGACAAATTACAAACCTGGAATTTAAATCATAATTTACAATTACCACAAACATGCAACAATAATTAGTGTTTGCCCTATTCTTAAGAACTGAGTATAAACTGAATTTGGCTAAAATGAGATAACAATTTAAAGAGGACAGTAAGAATGGTATCGTATTTCATGAAGTAATAAATGGTGTTTTTGTTTTACTTGCAGTAAAGCCGTACAGAAACAGGCTGTCATCCAGAAAACAATCTGGAGAATCAGACATGGAAATTTTCTCTCGTTGCTTGAAGATCTCTCATTTTTCTACAATATTAATCTCCCCAAGTGTTTTCATGGAAATGAATAGGAATATATAAGATGGGTCCTACGAGAGGGGAAAGTATGCATGCAAGAAATACGAGTAGCCAACAAAACGTAGCAATCAGGTTTGGGGAATCCAAGAATTTGTGTAGCCATCTCCATCTGTCACAAACTCATCACCTTCAAAACACCCAGCTGGGACACTTTGCTTTTATGATGAATGCAGGCTTTTTAATTATCCAAATTGTACCTTCATCGATGTATCTTGGACCTTCACGGCCTGCAGATTCCCTATTCATTTAGTATAACAAGGTGCATGAGTAAGTGGTAAGTAATTCAATGCAATCTTTTACAGCTTATTGTTTCCGACTACAGACAACCTCTACAGTCTTACATTACTGCTCCCTCTTTCACACTCAGCTATCTATCTCTGTCCCTCTTAAACTGCCTACGGGAAAATCTATGAAAACTAAATGCATGGCATGGGTCCTATTACTATGGTTAGAATTAAAACGTCAAACCCACTCGTCAAAAAGACATCCTTTGGATTTGAATTCAATTTCACTGTCATTTTGTTGTGGGGACGATAGACATTGTCTAATTAGGATCTAAATTTTGGTAACAAAAGTAATTAATTCTAAAATCAGGGATGAATTGATATACTGGAAATTTATTTGTCATGCATAAAAAAAGATTGTTATAAATTTTATATGAGTAAACGACTTTTTCTCCACTCAAATAATAGTTTAATGACGCTTTTTTATTCACAGACTTTTAAAATACCATTTTATTATCTGAATTTATATTTTATTTCTAATTCCGACATTTTTGCGACCTCAAACTATCACTATTTTCTTTTCCTATCATTATTCGCCAAAACCCTTCAAACCCTACCCCCGTCAACCCTACCAATCATCGATAATGAGCGATTAGAGTTTGCACAACCACCCCTCCCAAGTCAAATTCTAATCAATCCCAACTACCAAAATCCAACATTCCACCATCAAAAGACCCATCGGCCTCCCTCTTCGAAAACCTCAATAGCCTGGATCAAGTTTGTTCTCTATTCGTTGTCGGAATATAAATTTGAGTAGTAAAATGATATTTTAAAAATCAGTAGATGGGAAACTGTCATTAAATCATTATTTGGGTGGGAAAAAGTCGTTAACTCATTTCACATTGCAAGCAAGGCAAAGATAAAGGCTTCGTTTGGTTGGTTTTTGGGAATACTACTTTTAGTATTCCCAAAAAAGTTAAACAGTAAAATACCAAAAAACTCACAATATTATTCAACTTTTTTTAAACCCCCTAAATTTGTTAATTTAATTAAATACCCCTAAATATTTTTTTTAAAAATTGCAAAAACACCCCAACAATCCACATTTACCAGATTCCGGCCACTACTGCCAGAAAATGGTTGGAATCTAGTAGGATGATGCACTACCGGCTGAATCTGGTCGGTAGTGCGCTGATCTAGCCTTTTTCGGCCAAATCTAAGGCCAAAGACCTGGCCGTTGACGGCCAGATCTTTGGCCGTAACCAGTCGGTAACAACAGCCAACAAACGGTCGTCGTTGACCATCAACGACGACCGTTTGTTGGCCGTCGTTGACGAGTAAATACGGCCAGATCTGGCCGTCAATTGCTAGATCTAGCTGTAGATCTGACATTTGCCGGCCAGATCCACCATGGATCTGGCTGGAAAAGGCCATATTGGCGTACGACTGGCAAGATCTAACTGGTCATGAGCCGATAAGGCGACTCTAGCCACCCTCCGGCGGTGGTGGCCGGTTGTCTGTATTTGAGGGTGGGTTGAGGGTGTTTTTATTAACTTTTAATGTTTTATCATAGGGGTGTTTTGTACAAAAACAAATATAGGAGATATTTTATTAATTTATAAATCTTACATCGTAATACTCGCCTAATTCAACTTTTTTTATAACTTTTTTCAAAAAACTTTTTCTAAAAACACGAAATTGTGAACCAAAAGGAGCCAAAGAATCTTGAAATAAGAAAATACCATTTTCAATTCTTTCATCACAATGAAACTTCAATAATGGAAATTAATATTCCAAAACAGAAAAACAACCAACAGACTAAAGATCGCTAAGGATTTTCTTTGCCACTTTGCACTGGTTGAGGTTGATAGTTAGATGTAGAAGAAAGAATAAGTCTATCCTTACAAAGAACTCTACAAAGAAACTTACAAAGTGAAGAAAAAAACAAAGGAAAAATGGAAAAAGAGAAAGAGAGAGAGAGAGAAATGATGAAGATGAAGGGTAGACGTTAACTTTGTATGCCTCCTTTGTAGGCTTCTTTGTAAGACTAACATTGCTGGTAGAAGAAAATTGCAGTGACGAGGAAGAGCCACGTAACGTAAGCACATGGGGATGAGAGCCTCATGCATTGCAGATGAGATACGTCTGGATATTTGGGCCAAACACAAGACAGATGTTTGTCCAAGAAAGATCTCCCTCTGGTTTGATTCTTGACCTCACAATTTTCTTTCATTTTGTTCTTTCATCTGATCCCCCGTCCTAACTTCCAACTACACAAACACAAGTACCATTCATATTAATTTATTTGTGCTCGTCCATTAATTAATCAGTAATTGCAGCCCTTTTCATGATCCCACTTGAATTTTATCTTCATCTGAAATTAGTCTTGAAATCGGATTATTAATAAAGAGTTTATTGCATTTAGGAGAGATTGAAAACATGAAAGTCAGTACAAAATCAGGGAACTCTTTAGGATCTGTTTGGTTCTTTATTATGATAAAAGATTTTGAAAAAAATTAAATTGAATGAGTATTACGATGTAAGATTTAAAAATTAACCAAAACACCTTCTATGTTTGTTTATTTACTAAACACTCCTATAATAAAATATTAAAAGTTAACAAAAATACACCCAATCCACCCATTAAATACGGATAACCAACCGCCACGGCTAAAGGTTGGTCGGAGTCGCTGTATTGACGCATGACCGACTGAATCTTACTGATCGTGCACTGATATGACATTTTCTAACCAGATCCACGGTAGATCTGACCATTGACGGCCAGATCTGACCGTATTTGGTTGTCAATAGCGGCCAAAGATACGACCATCGTTGATGGTCAACAACGACCATATCTTGATCGTCATTGACGACTGGCTACAGCAAAAAATCTGACCGAATGGACTAGATCAGCACACTACTAACTAGATTCAATCGATAATACGCCATTATACTAGATTCCACCAACGGTGGTCGAAATATGATAAATGCGGACTACTGAAGTGTTTTTACAATTTCTAAAAAAAAATTTGAAGGTATTTTTAAATTAACAAATTTAAACAAATTTAAAAAAAATTAAATAATATAAAATAATATTTTAAGAATAAACCATCCCACTATTTAACTTTATTAGGAAAACTTATAATACGATTTCGAAGAGTCAATCAAACGGAGCCTCAAGTTTTGCAATAATAGTGTAGAGTGTTCTTTCCACAGTTTTTCTAGTCTTCGTCAGCCAAGAAATAAAAAAATGCAAGACTCAATTATTACAATAAACATTGTCCTTTAAACTTTTTATCTTTTTTTTTTTTTATCGGCATTAACGTGCTTATGTATACAGGAAAATGTACAGACCATCACCATCTCAAACATTATATGATAGTCATTTACACTTAACCAACTTATTGTATAGCATTTACATCATCTAACATCAACATAACGGCGGTGAATTTCTCTTCCTAACCCATATTTTCTTTGATGATCTCGTACTGTTGTAAGAAAATATTCCTGCAATAAAAAATCAGGAAACAATATTTGATTGTAATGGTGATAATAAGTGCAGTAGCAACGAGATAATTATGCAAAATCTCATGTTCCTAGCAGTGGCATCCATAACAACCATAAAATGTACTGACAAAAGTTTTGAAGAAGCAATTTTCCGTCCTTTTTCCTTAAATTTAAAAATAGGATAATAGTACTTACAAGGTATAGCGCTGAAGGTGGACCTTCCAAACAAGAGCATCACACTGGTACTGGACTTTGCTCCAAGCTTTCTTTCCCGGTAATGCCATCTTTCAAGGTTTTGAAATAAACGTTGTAGTCCTTCCCTGGGGGAGGGTTTTCAGGGTCAACTGTAAAGGGTTCACTAAATGGAACAGTACTCTTAACCTGCATGAGAAACAGAGGGACATAAGAAATACAAAGAATAATGTGAGCCTCTAACCATTCCACAGCTATATATGATTATATTCTATTAGTAGACATGACAGCCAAGCAGGATATCAGCACTTCATGATTTAAGACAAGTTTGTATAACCTCAAACGTCTTGTCACATGCAAATGGACTTTCAAAGGCAGCAATACATATGCGAGCAATCTCTTCCCTTGATACTTTTCCCTGTATATAATATATTGAACCAAAAAAAAAAAAAAAAAATAGTAGTGCTAAAGGGGACTTTGAGAAAAGAAACTCCTGAGTTTTCAACTTCAAACAGAAAGCTACATTGTTATTTAAATTTTGTAATGTAATGGAGCAATATCTGGATAAATGTACAACAATTCATGGCCCAATAAAAGTTAATACCGTTATGTTGTCTCCTTGATAAAAAATGAGATCTGCTCCAGCAGGCTCCTCAGTTAATGCACAAGGCCTCACAATGGTATACGGGATTCCACTTTCTCGTATTAAATCCTCTCCCTGTTTAACAAGCGGACAGAATTAGATAATTCAAAGAAGAGGACTGAGATGGCCAGCAATAAAAAGGGAGATGGCTCCAGTTAATCATAACACAGCAGACAGGAAGAACATAGTTAATCAATGTCACAAACTCCCAATTTTTGTATCTAAACATGAATTGGTCCTAGCTTTAATTTTACGAACCTGAGTATTAGATACTTCTGATATTAAGGAGTTTAAATTTCTTCACTTTCTGTCATTCCTTTCAAGTACATATTTACCCTGACCAAATATTTATAATTCGTCCAATAGGATGTGTTGGAAGTTCAAGATCCAATTTAAGTCTTAAAACTCAGCATTTCATTTGTAAACAGCAATGGAAATGTTGAAGTTCATGATATTAGTAGACCTCTTTATAAGTAAAGGTATAGTAATCAAACTACATGCTTTTGAGTAGAATTCAACCTTCAACTTAAATGTGAGAATGAAACCCAACTCCTTGTTCAAGCGTACAGCAGGAGGTTGTTTACTTAGATCCAGTCCAGGCCTTTCAGGTCGGGTAACTCCTGCAGAGCTCACATGGACGAACCTACAAGTGATGCACGTATAAAAGAAATTTAACACAGCACATATGCCTAGCTAGTATATTATCTATGTTCAATCACATAAAAGATAAGCAACTTAAGATAAAGAGTATGTACCTTGGAGCGATAGGTTCCTTTATATAAGCACGTATGTACGACACAGGAAGCTGAAATGCCCCTTCCACAAAAGTGGGATTTAATTTCCCATCATATTCAAACTTGCTGAACATGAGCTGAAAATTGTTGAATTATGTAAGTGGTATGGTAAGAACTCAAAAAGCCAGATATAGTGAATATAGTAGATACAAACATGCCTGCAATGACACAATATTGCTAGGGTCAAAGGGTGGAGCATCTGATACAGTTCGTGCTCGAAATATGGGCCTCAAAGAAGTGAATGGCAAGTGTATCTGGAAAATAATAAACAACGAAATAAGAAAAGAATCTATTCACCCCAAGTTCAATTATCATGTTGTGATACTTACTGATTGCCACTGGTCTCCCACAGTGTCAAAGCCCACTGTATAACCCACAGTGTCCCAATCAGGACTAGTGCGAACAATAAGTTTATACCGACGGCCATCACCTTTTAGGCGCAGCTCCAAACCATCATAAGCAGAAAGATCCTCTGGCTCAGAAAAATTCTGAAACCAAAAAGTAAATTTTCTCTCCAATAGGATACTGTAATCATTACTTAGTTAACATTAATTAAGTTAATTCTAAAACTCACAGAGCATGGCCTCACCAAAAACACTAAAACTAACATCTCTATCCAATTGCCAACAAAAATTGTTCCTTATACTGTGATTAAATTTCATGTACAGAATATCAGTTTAATATAATTTTCTTGATGCTGTGTAGGAAAGAAATAAAACCATCAGATAGATGTTTTTCACCAAACTTTGACTTGAATAAAGACCATGATACTCAATTTAGAGCGAGATAAAATTAATCTAATGGAAAAGAAAATAAACGAGCCCTCTTATTGTTATGTTAATCTAAAATAGCACAGATAAAAACAAAGTGACATATATGTAGCACAAGGACATGGATAAGGTATGATAAAAAGATTCCATTTTACCCTTGTTCTGATACTTGTAAAGCCACCATTGTTTGCAGTGGAAACAACACCTGAAGGAGATAGTCAAAAAAATAAGACATAAATAAATAACTATGACTATGGTTCTACTAAAATTATACCAAAACACACACATAGACAATGGGATATGACAAGAGCAAACCTTTAAAAAGCCCTGTTGGTCCACCATTTTCACCCCCAGTACAGTCAATTTGAAATTTACTTTCACTAACGCCCCCCATCACAACATCATCTAAAGCACCCCAAGGGAGTTCTTTAAAACTATCATCTGCACAAAGCAACCAAGACAAACAAAACTCAATTGAAATACATTGAGCACCAGAACATATGAAGGATAGCAATTTTCATGTTGGCTGCATATATTGACCAATTTTACACCATATATCCTGTCAGAACTGAGAATTTAGACTTCTTTGATAGACCTACTGAAAATGACTTTAATTTGCCAGTTAAACTATAGGTAGCTTGCAAAAACCCTAGGTGCAATATGGATGTAATAATGACCATATGTAGCTTCATGAACCTTTCTTCAAATTTTGTGCTATTGTACATCATACATTTGCACCACCCAGACCACCCCCTTCATCTCTTTAGTGTTTGTGTTCACTTTGAATTTATTTAGAAAGAGAAAAATGATTCAAGTAATTAAACTGATGCAATCATGCAAAGAATTTAATCAGCAATAAGCATTGACTAAATATTGTACCTTCAAATCCAAAGAGTAATTTCCCCTGTCGAAGTGCAACACTCCCCTTTACAGCATTAATCAAATTTTTCATCCCCAAATACTCAACCTTTTCAGGTGAATCACCTTTAATCTGTTTTTATCAATCAAATGAAGTGTCACAGTGACAAATACATCATTTCAGCTACGAAAATAAATGGGAAAAGCAGATAAAGTTCTGTATTGAACTCTTAGCAATCAGCAAATCTGACTTTAGACACATAAGATAGCAGTTGGTTCACACCTCTGGTTCAAAGAACTTGATTCCCTGCAGAACACAATGTTTAAATGTCATGGCTCTAAATAGAAATAGTATATGTAGCAAGCTATCTTTCAATCAATAAAAGTAAATTAACAATAAGATTAAATGACTATCATCATTGAAATGCTTGTGGTCGTACTTGGCTGTATTTTGCTCTTTCTGGAGTGTCTCCTTCCTTTGGGCCGACAATTACTGAAACAGCATTAATGACTTTTCTCACTCCTTTGAAGTACTCAGGTTTTAAAGTGCTCTCCCTGGTAATATCTCCAATAATCTGGCATTCCATATAAACAAGAAGAGTTGGAAACAAGGAAAATCGAGAAGAAATGCAATCAGCTGGTTCGTAGACTGCACGCCATATATGCAAACATGAACTAGAAACACTCCAAACCGTAAGTCACAAAAAAAAAAATAAAAAAAAAAAAAAGGGTTGAATAAGCATTTATCAGATTGAAGTTTGGAGATTACACCTCCAATCAACAGAATTAGAAATATCATAGGGGCTAAGAATCTTCATTTTCATTAACAAACCCAACTTCTTACACCTCGTTTAGTTGACAGATATTGCAAAAAACATTTTTGTATCATTGGAACCAAAGATAATTCCATCTTATTAATCTCTTTAGTCTACAGAAATGGAAACTTTCAATGGAGAACAAGAAATATATATTTCCCCATTATATGGATGACCTAAACAGTTCTACAGAAAGAAAAAGGAGGATATATGAGAAAATGAATGTCTACTTCTGATGCCACACATAAAACTAAAACTTTTATCCATTATCAAACTCATCATGCCCAATGAAATTTCTTGTCAATAAAATATATATTTAAAACTTAAACTGGTAAAGTGTGTAACTAAACATAAAAATGCAACTAGTATAATATCTGGCAAGGTAAAAAGCATCACTATAAAGGGAATTTTAATTTGAATTGGTTGCAGTCTTACCAAGTCGACATCAGGACCTAGCATCCTTCTTGCCTTCTCTTCATTTCTTACCTGAACAAATTAATCATTGCCATAAGCAGCTTCTTCTTACTAAAAACTTCGAAAAACAAATAACATAAAAGAGATAAGACCAACATACCAACACTCGTACAGGCAAGCCTTTGTTTCGCAAAATATCCACCACTCTTCTACCCACACCGCCTGTAGCTCCAGCTACAAGCACAATGCCTGAATTTTCCATCTTCTTCGCGGATTCTTGGGGCGATGGACTTGATAACTTGTCAATTATAAATTCAACAAACTTCCCAAACAATAAATTCCCATCAGCTAATACATACAAACTTCAACAATGACCATTATCAATAATCAAAATTGAATGCTCTTGTGATATATATATACCTTAGCTGGAGAAGGGGGTCCATTGAAAAAATATAACGTTTTCAAAAATCTACCAAGGTCCCAAGATTCAGCTGATATAGTTCCTCTATAGGTTCTTGAAGGGAGATTAAATGAGCTGTTTTGGTAAAGAAAAGTGTTTGATATGTAACTAAGTTGAAGAAAGGGTTTAGGCAATGGAGAAGAGGACAGCAACTGAGGATGTAAACAATTCTTAGAAAATTTCCTCCCAACAGCTGATGAAGAACCCTGCATTGTCACTTGATTCAGTTACAATATATTAAAATAAAATGATATTCTGCCAACTATAGTCTATAGTCATCATGCAATAAGTTTAGAGAGATAAATAAAAATATATAATCAAGATAGAAATCTGTCTCTAAGTGTATTGACTATTGAGTCTTCAATCAATGTAAATGGAAACAAAAAACTGAAAATTGAGGACAATCTCAATATATGATGGACAAAAGAGTGTACCTGGACGTTGAGAATGGAAGGATAGGAAGGCGATGAGAGTTTGGTAGAAGAACATGAACAACACTGCATTTTTATTAGTAGTGAAGAAGAAGAAACAAAGATTTTATTGAGGGTTTACTAATTTTGTTGTTGATATTTAAAATGGAAGAGTAAATATAGACCACAAATATGCTTGCTCTCAACAGTCGCTTTGGAAGTTGGAAAAAGGCGTTACTCTCTCTAGAATAATTGCGCCAATTCATGCATTGACTTGGGTTGGGTTGGGCCTCAAAGGGTCCAGGCCTGCAAAAACATGCATGGGCTGGCTTGGTTGGGTTTCATAATAGGCCTACGCTTGCAAAAAATGTTAGAACTGGTTGGGCCTCCAAGAAAAAAATTTCCGTGCGTTTGCCGGGAGTCGAACCCGGGTCTATTGCTTGGAAGGCAATTATCCTAACCGTTGGACTACAAACGCTGGCTGACGATATGGAGCCCATCCATTGTTTCTCAATAGTTTCTTGTATTTTTGTTTGCCACCCATCCCATCCTTTGAAGATGTTTATTTTTTTAAACATTTTTTTTTTTTGTGTTGAATTTCATCAAACACTATTCTATGTGATTTTAATTTATCTCTATACAAGAGACAATTTGAAAAAAAAAAAAATCTAAATCTAATTAGATTAAAAATTTATGTGCTAAAAATAAATACATCTTTTGTTTTTATATTTTCTCAGAGATAAAACTCAAATTATATGTAAGGATGAGTTATAAATTATATGAAACGGTGAGCTATAAGTATAATTACCTAGAATAACCTTTTTTGCAAACAATTTTTTTAAGTCTAACAACATTATTATAATTTAAAATGATGTATTTTGTCAATTTGAATGAAATTTATTAGTTTCGATGGTAATTTTCATTCCATTACTCATTAATTAATTACCCTTTTTTTTATTGAAATAAATTAAAACAATTCTTAGGATTTTAATGATGTGTGTAGTGTCAAAAACAATTTATTGGTGTAAATAGTATCACTCTTAAATGAATCCTCTTGCTTCTACGGTAAAGATATTCTAGGCTATCCTTTATCTCTCTCTTTAGAAAATTGATTCCAAATTTTTTTTTCAATATGGTTATCATAATCAACCTCACAGATTAAAATCAAAGAGTTTCATTAATCGATAAGGGGTTTAATTTCAACCGATTTTCGTCAGAAATGGACATACATATATATAAAGTCTAATGGTTTGATCAAAGCAAATATTATGATTGACAAAAAATAACATTTCACATGGACATGTTAAAAAAATAGAAATTAATGTTCTTTAGTCCAATCAAACTTAATACTATTTTTTTAGCATAATTTTCACGCACATTGCAGTGTCGTTGTCTAATGTCTTTGTAGTACAAACTTTATGAAGTATGATGTGTAGATTAAAATCAAAGAGTTTCATTGATCTATAAAGGATTTAATTTCAACAGATTTTCGTCATATATATAAAGTCTAATGTTTTGATCAAAGCAAATATTTTGATTGACAAAAAATAACGTTTCACATGGACATGTTTAAAAAGTAGAAATTAATGTTCTTTAGTCCATGCACATTGCAGTGTCGTTGTCTAATGTCTCTGTAGTACAAACTTTATGAAGTATGATGTGTAGTGAGACAAGGAACCTTTCGGCAAGGGGAAAGGATAATGTGTCGCAAGAAAAACCCCCGTGTAGTTGACATGAATGAATAATTCAGGGCCTTTTTGTAGACATCACGCCCAACAGGCAAATACAAATCTTCTTTATTTGCTATACCAATGTATGCCGACTGTCGACCTTGCTCTTCTATCTCCGTTTTAATCGTGTTGACAATTCCTTCCTTCGCTTTTCGTGAAGTTAACATTCTCCGCCAATTCTGTATTGTTTTCATTCATCGATCCACTCGAAGAAGACTTTTTTGTTAAAAATGGTATTGGTAGGTCTCTCATGGCACTTATTTTTATGCATAAACAACTAATGCAGATCGCAGTATATATATTTGATACATACTAAAGATGAAAGATTTTGATTTGATTCTCATACAGTTGTGATCCAATACGGGATCCACAGGATGCCTCTATCGACTATCCGATTTGCAGGTAATTACTATTAATATATTGTAGAGAATGATCACTCTATAATTAATATGGTCCAATTGATTCTATAAGAAGTAAATTGCATCACAAAAAACCTAATTTCACATCACTAGATAGTTACACTGGACCACTATTGGGTTGCTTGATGGTAAAAAAGTAAAGAATGATCTAACATAGTTTGTCAAGTTTAAGTCATCTTGATGGTAAAACAACAATAGAAGAAGATTTAACATAGTTTCCTAAGTTCGAGTCCTCACAGCCTCTAATAGGGACGACCACTAAAGCTCTTATCCGATCGATAGTTTCATGATCCTAAGGATTAGACTAAGGTGCATGCATACTAGCCTAAACACCCGTAATTATTAAAAAAAAAAATAATAATTAGTTACTCTAATGTTAATAAGAGTGTTAGAAGGAGTTGCAAAAGTTCGGATCGGAAACTATTTTTCACAAAAAGCATGCTTGCAATAGGTTTATGAACTCCGGCTCTATATTGTGTGACAAAAAAATGAATGTCGTGGGCAAACGAGATTCATGAATTGATTTGATTTGATAATTTGATTGATTCAATGATAATATGTTTTTGATAATGTTATTAAATCAGTATCAGTCGTTAAAATGATGTATAGGGTTTGCACATGTTGATGTTTTTCTCATTCTAACCACAATTAATGGAGTAAAACCATAAAAAAATTAATTAGAGGAGGCAAAAGGGTCCTACATTCTACCTACGAAGTAGTGGTCTGTGCCTCTGTGGAGTGGGATAAGATATTCTGATATAGAAAAGAGTAGACCCATAAAGGTTTTTGTTATCAGAATAATTGTTTATTTCATCTTGTTATCTTCAATTTCATTAGGGTTCAAGACTTTTCTATACACAAAACAAATATGGCATTCAAACACAGGGCAATCTGACCATACATGTCTTCCTCAGGACTTAAATATTGAAATATTATATAACAATAGAGTTCCAAGTGATAAAATGTCAAACGCTCATATATATTTTGTATTTGACAAACTTTTAAGAAAATGATCGTTTATATCGCAAAGTCAAATCCCCCTCTTCTTCCATTTCTTATTCCCGATTCTCTTTGATACGAGGTCTGCTTCATTGGTTTACTTAAGGTGGTAGTTTATTAATCTAATCTGGTTTATAATTAAAAATTAATAAGTCAATCGTAGTAGCTCAGGTCCTCAGGATAGTTGTTAAGCAAAGTCCACCACGTTCGGCATATTTCTTAATCGACCTTTAATTTTGGTGCTAAGAACTCGGACACAACGCTCAATACACGCCTTCTATAAGCACGATCTTCTTCTAATTTATTAATTATTGTATACTTGTTAACATCTTTGTATCAACATTTGAATATTACATTTTATATGTCAAAAGCAATAGCACCATCATCGCATAATCGTATTCACAGTTTCAGTTTTAACACAAAGAAAATAATTGAATACATTAATTAAATGAACTCAAAAGGTAAGCACATTATTAATTGTTGATCAAACGATTATCAGAAAAGTGAAAAACTAGTTTAAATTAAAAGATAGCAGATAAAAGGTTATAATCAGCCTTTTTATGATCGCACTGCACCTACCCAAACAAATATTCATTAAATCCTTTTAACCTCTCGTTCCCTCTTGCTTTTTTATCTTCTTTTTTGCTAAGAATAGTACTGGGAATTGCAAGAGGGAACAGAAAGTGGGTTTTGAAAGCCTTGTAATCCACTAGGATTACATATATTGTTTATAGTGACACATTCTAACTCTTATTATCATTAATAAACCACTACCAATTGTCTGTAAAGCCGGCTTGAAAGAGTAAACGACTTTTTTCCATCCAAGGTTTGCCTAAGTGACACTTTCCCATCCCAAAAAGTTTCAAAATACCAATTTAATACCCAAAGTTTATATTCCAACCAATCGTTGGCCAATTCCGACATTGTTATAACTCCACACCATCACAATTTTCTTCCTCGATCATCAGTCATCAAAACCCCTCAAACCTTGCTCCTACTAACCCCGTCAATTGTCGGTAATCAAGCGATTTGTGGAGCATGCAATCGCCTCTCCCAAGTTAGATTCCGACCACCAAAATCCAACCTGCCACACCAAATGACTCACTAACATACTCTCTTCAAAAGTCCAAATAACTTAGATCGTGTTTGCTCTCCGTTCGCCATCAAATCAGAAAGTGTATTTTAAATAGTAAACGAAATATGAACTTTGGGTAATAAATTGGTATTTTGAAACTTTTTGGATGAAAAATTACTAAGCCAAACTTTGGGTGGGAAAAAGTCGTTTCCTCCGGCTTGAAGCTAAAAAAGTGTACATGAAAATAATACTAACTTACAAATTTGGTATTAGTTAATTGCGTGATTAAATAGAAGTATTAAATGTTTAGCTAATGTCATACAGCATGTTGATTGACAGTGCCATATAACCACAACTGGGATTTGATATTAATGCGGTATTCTTTTCCTTATTAAGTTCCGGCATTTACCTGGTTATTATAAGATAATCAATGAATTTGATTCCAGAGTTAAAATCCCAAAAAGTTTTTGTTACTTTCTGCCACAGCAGCCAAACATATCATCAGAGAATTTGGAGAAAACGACTTTTTCTCACCCAAGGTTTGCCTTAATGAACTTTTCCACCTAAAAAGTTATGAAATATCATTTTTTTCACCAAAAGTTAATATTATGATATGATCCAAAGCCGGGCAGCGAAAATTCTCTCCGCTCACCACCATTTGAACCTTTAGTCTTTTCTCTATAAAACCCTTCTCACTTCAACACTTAATTTCTCGTCAATTGTTGGTCACCGCAAAGCTAAAGTTTTTTTTTTCATAGATGATTTTCGAATGATTTTGACGATTAATATTCAATCGGTCACCATTATTCGATTCATCGACTTTCACTCTACAAAAAACCTCGTATCCTGGCTCCTGATAATTCGTCAAACACTGGCTAAGAAAGTAAAATGTATTTTGGGTATTAACAGAATATAAACATTGGGTGGGAAAATAGTATTTTGAAACATTTTGGGT